GCATGGCTGCCGGCTGCCATCTTGGCTGACAGTTAATTTGCATAAGGATATGCTGATTAGCCAATGGGAAGGGTAGCGGTCGTACGCTAATTACCATGTTTCTCTTTTATTAGTGTAGATCTTTAACTGGCGGTCCCTCGGCCTGGCCTGCAGGGATTGGGCCAAAACTGATATCTGGGTCCGGGGTGCGGGTGAAGCAGATTCAGGGCCAACAGTGCCTCAGCAGCAACCTAACCCACAGCCGATTCCCCGAGGAATCGGGCTCCCTCCTCTACTGGTTGGGGCGTCTGCCCCCTAATGATCATTGTACATCATAGCTACCAGTCGGATGGCCACTTAGGCTTTTATATATATAGATAGTTTACAATTAAAAATTGAGAGGGAGCTCATCAGGTGGTTCAGTTCGTTGGAGCATCAACTGTTACACTAAAGGGTTTCAGGTTCCATATCTGGTCGGGCTGCATACGGGAGGCTGAACCGGTGACCTTTTTATGCATGTACGGAACAGTGCTAAACAACTGAGCCACACCAGCCAGGGCCATCAACGTTGCCTTTAACATCTTTATGAAACTTGAATCTAAATCATGTCACATCCCTGCTTAAAATCTTCATCAACTTCCACGTTGTCTTCAGGATAAAAATCCACATTCTTTAACATCCTGTAAAAGGCTTTTCACAATCACCCCTTCCTATTTGCCTTAGAGACTTCTTTCAGTGCCTTCCAGCCTTTGATCCAGCCATCCTGAACTATTTCATGTTCCTTAGAAGAGGTGTGTTCTCTTTAAACTGAGGCATTGCAAAATGTGTTTCCCTCCCTTTTACTTGACGGAATCTTACTAATCCATCAAAGTCAGTGCAGTACCTTTGAACGTCCATCCCTGACCTCCCTGCTCTAACGCAAAAGTCTCTCTGAGGTTTTCTCATATCAGCCTGTGCTAGCTTCTATTATAGCATCCATTACTTTATTTTTGCAATTACATAATTATCTGTTCCTTAGTAGATAATAGTTTTGAATCTCCTGCTTCAAGCACAGCCCTGATGTGTAGAGTCAGTTCTCAGTTCTCTATTTTTTGAATGTTCAAATGGAGCCCTATCACTTCCATGAAATCTTCCCTGACCAATGTAGCTGATTACAACCTCTTCCTCTATCCATGATACAGTCAGTGTTTGTTATCACTCCAAGGTTAGTCATCAGTGCTGCCTAGCATGCTTCTCTTCCTTAACCATTAACATGTATCCCTCATCATTTCAGTGCTTCATCTTCTTTGGTTTTGTCTTCAAGGGTGATAATTAGTTAATATAATCAGTGCTATTAAGGAAAAACTAAAATAAACCCTATAGGCTACTTTCTCTATTCAGTAACAAACATTTCAGAATGTCCCGTATTAGGTTACTGACTCAACATTTTCCAACACACCATACTCTTTTAAAGCCCTGTGACTTTGTTAGTGCTGTTCCCTTGGCCTGGAATGACTTTCTTCATTGCTCAAATACCTGAGCAATGAAGGTAGTTGCCTCTTGGCTACTACCTGTAGAATAGGAATTAAAACATTTTATTTAGTTTTCTCATCTGTCTCCCTACCTAGATTATGAGTTCTTTAAAGACCAGGACCCAAGCTTATTTCTCTTTATACTTCCTTCACTGAGTACAATGTCTGGAACTAAAAAAATATTTATTGAAAGATATGTACTTCA